ACATAGTGTGAAGGTTAATAATCATTGCCGAGCTAGTGTGTCATCGTTTTGATCAGTCGACGATTGGTGATCGAAAATATTAGATAGATTAGTACTCTTCAAAAGAAAGAAAAAAAGGTTTAATCAATCAAGTGAAAAAAAATATCCTTGACACATCTAATTTTTTTTTTTTAATATTCTAAACTATTATTATAGTTCTATATCATGTTGATAGGCAAGTTGTTACATTTACACATATAATGTGTACAAAAAAATCAAGAGTGAACGATTCATGATTTTGAGTGTTTATTTTATTTTGACTTTTGTCAATTTATAGATGTCACTTCGAAGATATTAAATTTAATTAATAATTTTATTTTCTATAAATAAATAGTAAAAAAAACGATTTCATAAAAATTTAAAAAGAAAACATTTTAATTATTCATTTAAACAATAAATCAATAATAAAAATGAATAATCATTGTCAAGCAAGTCAAGATCACTGGTAGCATTTGCATTCAAATGTCACATTCTAGTAAATACCTTCCAACAAAAGAACACCTTGGATGTTCTATTCTGTCTACACATGGCTGTATGTTTGGTAAATATTTCATTACACATTTTAATTATTTGTCTTAATCAATAATGTCAATAAGATTTGAATATTGTTTGTCGATGAATAATAAAACGAATTATAAATAATTTTATACTGAATTTTTTTGTTTATAAACAAATCATTCAAGATAATATATCAAAATGAATATTTATAATAGAATTTATTTCGATATATTTAAAATGACGAGTCTATTGGCACCATAAATTAATGTTAATTAAGTTCATTTATTTCTATTTTAATAAAATCTACTCTTGAATTATTACCTGTACTTTCGATGAATACTGATCTATCAATCAATCTTTTTGTTGTGCAAAGAAAATTTAAACTGATTTTTATTTAAATCATCTTGCTATTGATTAATACCAACTGAAGTCAAATAAAAAAAAACAGCTAACAATGGAGGGTCGCATACTGTCAGTGAAGGAGATCGCACATATTCGGGTCAAATGAAAGCTCTCATCGCCAAACTAACAAATTCAAAATATTACGTGCCCATAGAATATTTAGAGACAGTTACTTAAACTTCAAGGTATCTGGAATTTAGGTATACAAATGAATCAGGAAAGGCTTTCTCCACTATTGTAAGGACAAAACATAGTTTTGTTCGGGCCGATTAGGAGATTTGGCGGGGTGGAGTCCTCTTTCATATGACCCGAACAACACCATGTTTTGTTCTTACAATAGTGGAGAAAATCTTTCCTGATTCATTTGTATACCTAAATTTCAGATACCTTGAAATTTAAGTAACTTGCTCTAGATATTCTATGAGCACGTAATATTTTAAATTTGTTAGTTTGACGACGAGAGCTTTCATTTGACCCGAATATGTGCAATCTCCTTCACTGGCAGTATGCGACCTTCCTTTGTAAGTCATCAGTCACATAAATATCAAATAAATATTGGCAAGGTCAATAACGTTGTGCAGTAATTAAACATTATTGACGAAATTACTTATTAGAATTTGATGATGTATGTAGGTTTTCTTTTTACAAACAATCTTTAAGGGTGTGAGTTATGGATGTAGGTGTAGATGTGACTGTGCTCTTACTCCATCTACATCCACACCCACACTCAACCTGTTCTCGCGTCCAGACCTTTTTCTTTGTAAAGTTCAAATAGAAAACGAAAATCAGCTTTTCTGATGCTTCTTAGGAGACCACAGCATTTATTAAAAAATACCGTAAAAATGTAGTATCTCTGAAGCAATAAGCTAACTGCTCGAACACTTTTTCAACGTATTCGTAGTCCATTTAGATCTACGTTATGTACATAGTCTAAACACAAAGGTAATTGAACAGTTGGTGTCCTTCTCTTGTGAGTCTTTGTCAGGTCTTATATTCTTATTTCAGAAAAAAATCTACAGAAGAATCCTAGAAATCCTTGATAAGAGCGAGATTTTGTTATTTATGTCTACATTTAAAACAGAAAATTTTTTGTTTGAGAGTGCCTTATTTTTATTTTGCATCGTTGCTGTTCGCTCATTATCTTTCATTTTCTTTTATTTTAAACCGTTTTTCGTAACTCAACATTCTTATTACTATAATCATTGAATTAATTGGCAAATAAATCTGTTTTATATATCGATGATATCTAAAGAAGATCTTACGCACTATTATATATATTAATCAGCTCACAAACAATGATGTTGATTATCTTTCAAAATTATAACTTGATCAATTTTTCAAAAAAACTAGGAAGTCTGACGTGTGTTATTCTTCAGTGCTAAGGTCTGTAATGGAGACCTACGTTACTATGTGTCTGTAATTGGGAGGGGGGGAGGGGGAGCCGCACAAACTTGAACTTAAAATTTACACTCACTGTTCTCTTTGAAAATATATTTGAGTTTCACAAAATTTTATAAATTGTAAATGAGATAGGACTTTCCTGTAACTACGACAGAAAAGCAGAAAAAAAGGCTTGTTAGCGCAGTCCCTTTGAGACAAAAATGAGGAACTCACAAATGCTCTCTAGCCTGTCGGTGTGGGTGCCGCAAAGAACTTTCGCCGCATGTCTGTCGAGGCCGTACGTGTCAAACCTAAAAGTTGACTTAAACTATTAAATAATTCTGTAAATATTCACTGCGGGTTAAGCGCTCTTCTCCGCCAAATCGATCTTTCATTTCAACGTCGTGGCGTGGGGGCGCGAAGTACCCTCCGAAGAGCCGCTACCCATACTTGTCTCTGTGTACACAGAAATTCGTGTGATGTTTGTGTCACGCTAGCCACATCTCTTCAGAAGCTATCTGGCCATAGAAGTCGTTCGCTAACAGACGCTATCTTCTGATTATCATTAAAGCATCTCATGCCCTTCTTCTCGCATACCGCAAATGTCGGTAGCATACCAGATAAGACGGGAAGGACTCCAGGTAGTACCTGTAGCATCCCAGGTAACATATATACCGTCACAGATGGTACTTGTAGCATCTTATGCACCATCTATAGCACTCTAGGTAACGTTTGCAGCATACCTGGTAACACCTGCAGCATCTGAGGTTCTATCTGAAGCAACCCAGGTAATAGCTGTAGCGTCCCAGAGAATAGTTGGCGCATCCCTCAGAGTATCTGTAGCATTCCAGATGGTTCCTGTAGCACTCCAGGTAGTACTCGCAGCACTTCGCATAATATCTGTAACAGTCCGAGGGTATCGGTCGGACTCCATGTTGCGTTTCTTGCATCACAAAGCATAATTTTACCATTCCAGGTGAAATCCGTACCATTCTATGTCAAACCTATCGTAACATAGGTGATAACAGCAGGATCCCAGGTAAAATCTCTAGCATACCTAGGGATGTTTAAAGCATTCCAAGTAATATGTGCGAGATTTCAGATCACACTTTTAGCACGACAGCTAACATCTGTAACATTCCTGAAGATATTTGCAGCATTCCGGATAACAATTCTACTATTCCAGGAAAGAGTCTCAGCAATCGAGAAAGCGTTTAATGATGAAAGTTTAAGCTTCAAATTTGAAACTTAAAACTTGAGACGTCAATCGAGTTCAAGTTTAAAGCCTTACACTAGAGGAATTTATTATTTCGAATTACAGACAATTTTATCTTTTGCTTTTTTGCCAGACTTCTATGGATGTCTCAATTCGATTTATAAATTTATAATTAGGATAAAATTTTATCTTTTGCTTGTTTTGCCATTTGAACATGGATGGGATTTTTTAAAATTTTCCATTTATATTCGAACTCGAATTAGACAGCTACTCAAGTTTTGGGAAGTTCTATCTCAATTATAAATTATAATTTATAAATTCCTTTTCTGCTTTTCTGCTGCAGTTATAGAACTGTCCTATTTCAATTAAAAATTATAATTTATAAAATCTTTTTTTCTACTCTTCTGCCGTAGTTATAGGAAAGTCCTATCTCACTTATAATTTATAATTTATAATTACTTTTAGTGGATGTGTGCCACATTTATACGTAGGTCGTGTCTGGACTGTGGTTGATAGTGAAAAGATTTTTGCATTTTTATGTCTTGATTGAGCGTGACATGTTTTTGAAATTTTCATTTATATTATAACTCGAATTAAGCAGCTACTCCGGAGATGTTTCCCATTGTTTATCTTGAATCTTTGTTTCAATTTTTGTATAAAATAGATCATTACAGATGAAAATAAACGAAATGTTTACAGCAAAGCAGACTATGAAACAATTCGATAACAATCGATGAATCGTTAGATATACGCGAATCATGTATATGAGAGATCAAGGCGATAATTTGTTATAGCAAGATGATACTGCGAAATAAATATCTCACTATTTGTCTAACTTTCGCGTTTCATGAAGTATAAAAGTTGTCATTGAAATGTATTGAGTTGTTTCTAGTGAAAATCAATTATTCATAATGAATTAACTCCGAGATTTTCTAGTAATCATTTATAAATAGAAGAAAATGTTTTATTTCATTTAAACTGGTGTCACAGAAGATCAACAGCGGTTAAATTTGACTAGAGATTTGATCGAACGTGCCTTTGAGAAATCACAATAGATTGAGAGAGTGTACTATTCAATTCACTGAATCTTTTTATCATCTGGCTAAAATAGGGTGTAAGTGTGAGAATGATCATGACTGTGGGTGGTTGTTGACCTTACCTTTTTTTACACCCACACCCAAACCCGCATGATGAGTGCCCTCTCTGGTTAGCAGTCCATAAAGATGATACGGAATATCCTTCTAAATTTCGAAAAATTCACATTCTTGCACTTTTAGCAACAGTTAGTTTATTGTTGTCAAAAGTTCAGTAGTGAACTATTCTATTAATAAAGAATGTGAATAGTAGTCTATTACAAATCTTTCGCCAATTGTTGAAAGTCCATGGCAAAAGTTACTACTGCAAACGTCATGTAATCCAAAAATTGAAAATCATAATCTTTAATTGTAATGTCATACGAAAGGATTTATACATGCAAGTTCATGCTATCGAGATAAGCTCTCCATCCACCCATATGTGTGATATCCTGCGCACTGTCCAGAGCGGATGGTTCTACCAGAAATCCCTTGACGATACATCCATCTTCAAGAAAAATATTGCCTATAGAAAGTGGTGGTGGAACCATACTAATAAAGCTAGGTGCACCGTCAGCAGGAAGTGCCCAAATTTCAAGTTCAATACCAGGTCCTTTGAAATCTGTGACGCGTACTAGACCAGGCTTGAGTGGCACGGAACCCTTGAGCACGTAAAGTTGATAGTCGTGACGAGTACGGCAAGTGCGCACGAGTCGAGCGTTGCGTTCTGTAAGCTGGTAGTTGAGTGGTTGACCAGACAGATGCGCACCGACAACCGCAATAAGGAAGCAGTTTGAAGACATAGAATTACATTCAGTTGGCAACAATTTCGGTGTATTTGCCAAAGGACGCGTAGATCCACCAAGATTAGTAGCAAGTGCACGATGTATACGATCTCCAAGTAACAGGAGAGCCGTATCAGTGAACGCTGCTCCGATCAGAGTAACACCAAAAGGCAGACCATCGGGACGTATACCAGCAGGAACAGAAATGGCTGCGAGATCGAGTAGATTTACAAAATTCGTATAGTATCCGAGATGACTGTTACGCTCGATCGGTGCTTTAGCAATCTCGTCGATAGTATAAGTTCGTGGCGCAGTTGGAACTAGAAGAATATCGAATTTTTTCCATAACATATGAATTTTTTTCTTTAGTCTTTCGAGTTCATAAACGCCATTAAATGTATCAACTGCTGTATAATCTTTTGCCTTAGTAATAATGGTGTATACTGTTGGATCGATATCTTTTGCATGTTGCTCGATGAATTGACCGACGGCCGTGTATCGCTCAGCTACCCACGGACCTTTATAGAGCAGATTGCCCGCAGCTAAGAAAGGTGTAAGATCAATATCTACTGGTTCACCACCAAGATCACGCTTAATTACGTCGATTGCTTTTTGAAAAAGCGTAGGATTATGAACATCACCAAAGAATTCACGAGTTTCAAGTGTTGGTATAGCAAAGCGAAAGATTGGCGCGATACTCCATGGCGCTGCACCAGACGAAGCAGATGGTACACGCGAATAGGGATCCAGCTCATCGAAACCACGTGCAACTGCCAGAACAATTGAAGCATCCGATGCCGTTTCCGTCAAGATAGAAACACAGTCAAGAGTACGACAAGCCGGTACTACACCGCACGTACTTAGTAATCCACGTGTCGGTTTTAGTCCAATCACATTATTGAACATTGCCGGTATACGTCCTGACCCGGCTGTATCCGTTCCTAACGCAAATGTAACCTATTAAAATAAAAACAACTCGGTTTTGATATCTGCAAATTCATTCAAATCTATCTTGGTCATAACGTTACAATCATACTCACCAAACCACTGGCCACTGCTACGGCTGAACCTGAACTTGAGCCACCTGAGATGTAATTCGAATTAAAGACACTGGCACAGACACCATACGGCGTACGTGTGCCTACGAGACCTGTGGCAAACTGATCCATATTGGTTTTACCGACGAGAATAGCACCTGCTTGCTCAAGTTTCACAACAACAGGTGCGCTTTCAGTTGCTGGTGTACGAGCAAATGTTGGGCATGCAGCTGCGGTCCCCAACCCAGCCACATCCATATTGTCTTTCACAGCAAATGGAATACCAAAAAGTGGCAATTTTCTTCGATCTCCTTCTGGAAGAAGCGACAATTGCTGTATTCGAGCTAGAGTTTTTTCACGAGGAATAAGTGCAATCCATACAGGATTCAAGCCTTCACATTCAATACGATCATAAATGTCGTTGATGGTAGTCGAAAGAGCATTTGGATCGGTTGCGTAAATTTCATGAAGAGCAGCAATATTTGGCATTTGAAAATGCTATCAAATAATCTTTTCTAAAATTAAGACAAACCATTGTATCTGACTATCATGGAAAAATTATTCAGTCGATATCTGGGCTCTTTTATTAACGAGATCCTTAGAGCTTATCATAAAACATTGCATTTCATTTCTAGTTCGAAAATTTTAAAAAAATAAGCATTTCTGTCAGTGTCTTGCAATCTTGAATGCTTTTTCTTAAGTAAAAAACAACCCGAGATTGAAGAAGTACAGTACATCGAAAAAAAGTTCTGTGTATGTGTGAAATTGATATGAAATGGTATGACGCTCATTTCAACCACTGAATCGCTTAATTTGAAGTAAATAAGTGTCAACAGAAAAACTTAAGCTTAATATTAGCAGTTAGGTGAATCAATAGTCAGTAATATTACCGAGCTAGTAAATGGTCAAAACTTCCGCCGGTTCTCACAGGATCTGTTTTTCAGAATCATTGACCTGGCATCATATCTAGCCGGAATCACAGTGGAAACGGCCGGATCTACTCCGATATTATCTACTAACAACATAGAAAATCTCGGAAATGAACGGATCACGGTCAAAGTATTCCTAAACAGGATACCGCCGACTATTTCCAGCAAACTTCCGATACTTCTGTCGCTTTCCCGCCGGAAACGGCAAGCAGAATTCGTCAAAGTCCTGCGCAATACTGTCCCTAAGATCCGATCGTTTCCTACCATTACCCACAGGAAACGGTGCACTAGCCCGTTTTCCTGCCAATCCCATAAAAATTCTCTACTTTCGGTCAAAAAAGTGGGCTCCAAACTGCCTAAACTCCAAATTTCGAGCTCACTTACGCATCCATATTTTACTCAATGGCTCAGGTCTAGCATTACGACAACCAGATACGACCGTACACGGCCGTTTACGACGCCGTATACGATGCTCTATCGTATACTGTTATAGACCAATCACAATTCAGTAGGACTTTTTTTGCTTATTATAAGGACAACACCTAGTCATGTTCGGGTCGATTCTATGGTTATCGCGGTCGCTCTATCGAATGAGGGCTATATGTGTGGGACCCTTTCTTATCCATGACTGAAAACTAGAATCTCCCAATTTGATTGGTCAATTACAAAATCCGACGGAAATCAAGTAAGTTGGCATCGTTTCCGTGCAGGAATGAACTATCCGGATTAGAAATGGAAACGATCGGATTTCTCCCTGGAGTTTTCCTCCATTTCTGGCCGGATATGGCAGGAAAGTAAGCAGAAAAATTCGGCAAATTCCGTCGCGGAATGCTGCTTCCATGAGATTCTCGAAAAACTCCGGAACCGGCCGTTTTCTTGCCGGATTGTTCGACAAAGGCTGTTCTTGTACGCAGTAAACAACAAAAAAACTTACATGTGACTAGAAAATGAGGCGAGAAGAGAACAAGACGAAGAACTATTCACCTATATGGGTAATTCCACATGAATTCGACCACGTGATACCGAAGTGGTGATGGATTTCAATGAAACTTTCAGGGTTTATAGAGGTCGAAATTCTAAGGATAATGGTAAAATAATTGTTTTGAAAAGCTTTCATTTTGACGAAGATAAGTCCAAAATACTGAAAATAGCAAAAATCGATGTGCACAAAACACATTTTTTTTTGAGAATTTGTTCCTAACCAGTTTTTCTTATGTTTCTA